TGGGGGTCTCCCACCCACCCCACCCTGCATGGAGCTGCCAGGCAGCAGCAATTTGAAACACCACAGAGGCTCTCTGACCATTTGCATCAGACATGGGTAGGGTGATTTGGGGGTCCCTGGGATTAATACTACTGGCACCAATGGAGTGTTACAGGGTGAATGCAAAGGGAGCCAGGCCCTTGCCCCTGGTTCTTCAGCCTGGTCAGGCTGGGAGCATGCAGGGTGTTCAGCACCATGCTGCAGGCCAGGAAAGCAGAGGGGATGAAAGGAGCAAGGGCATCCTTCACTAGGGCAGGGGTGCCAGGGGACCGATTATCAGTCAGGCAAAGAGTTTCTAGGTGATTACCTTGTAGCACGGCCTTGGTCCAGAACCTGTTTCCCATTTCCACGTAATCATGCCAGCACAGCTGGGTTTGGTAGAGGTCCAAGGTTGTGAAGGTCAGGATGATCTGAAATGGAACAAGCAGCAGAGGTTAACACCAGCCTCTGGGAGGGCCCCGGTCCTATAGCATTGGTCTCTGGCTGGCTGGCTGAGCACCTCATCCCTTTCAGGGCTCTTCCAGAAGAAGTAACAGTTTACTATTGCTGCCAGCTCCTGGAGGGGCTCCACTGGCTTACAGGGTATCAGTGACCAAACAGTGAGGTCTACCAGTTCTCTCCATCACCAGGTTTCACTGCCAATGGAGTGAGCCCCAGGGCGGCCTAACTAAGTTTAGTTCACCTCTCCTGGTAGCCAAGGTGCAAGGAGGCCACCAGAGCATCCTGGGGACCCCTTGATTATGGACCTAAGGATTTAAGAAGTGCTGCATGATTCCAGCCCACAGGCCTGGGTTTGCAGGTGTTTGGGGGTGCATGGCACCATCTATAAGCCGGGGCTGGTCACGCTGGGTGTGGCACAATTGAGGCACTGCAAACCAGTTCCCCATGGGCAGAAAGCAAGGTGCACACACTGCAACTAGACCAGTGCTTGTCCCTGGCAGGCAGGCCAGCTGGGAAAGCCCACTGCTTCAGAGAAGTTCGCCCCCTCTTGCAACCCAGGGTTTACTCCGAACACCAGGTTTGAACAAACTCCTGGTAAAGGACCTGGGTTGCACTTGATGTTGAGGGCTAAATCACAAGCTTTCCAGGTGGCTGAGGAGAATAATAAGCCATCCCCAGCTCCACAGAAGATCCTGAGCTGTAGGTGGCTGGCTCAAGCCCTGGTGTGAAATCCCAGCCTGGCCTCTTAACTCAGCTGCTTAAATCAGCTGGCCTGAAACAAGCCGCGACTGCTGAATTGGGATGTGGATGAGGCTCAGTTCAAGGCTCAGGCACGTTCAGATCTGGGCCCCTCTCCAGCATCCTGAATGGGTTGGGATGAGTTATCTGTACATAACACACGTCAAATACATCAGCTGCTCTGCTGTAATTGCTGCCTGCCTGCTCTGTCCTGTGGGAGGTGGAAGCTGAACTGTGGTAACTTTGCTGTTTCCTTCACAAGCTGCCTCTATTACCACATGGCACATAAGCGTCCCTGACACCTGCTGGAAGCCCAACTCCCATCCCAACCAGTCAGGAGTCTGATGATCCCCAAATCCCTAAGTGGGGGTGCATGTAACATCCTTCTGGGGTGCAGTGAAGCAAATACACACAGCCCCTGCCTGCATGGTGCTCCTGCACCCCAACATAGTGCAGAGCCCTGGTAATGCAGAGCCATGTGCTGGGGCTTGGAAAGTTTGTGAGGGAGCACAGGCAGCTCCCAAACCCCTGTATCACAGCCAGTGGGAGCTGAGGCACTGCTGCAAAGGATCCAACTGCACGGCCACAGTAGGGCAGTGGAAGGGGCAATGTGCACTGCTACATGCAACAACCCATTGGGGGCACTCCAGAGATAGGGATCCAGAAAGGTTTGATGGGTGAGGGATGGGAGGCAGGAAGGCAATGGGGAGGAAGGAGAGCAGAAAAGCAGAAGGGGAAGGGAGGGTAGAAAAGAAAAGAAAGGTTACCAGGGAGGAAATGGGGCAGGGAAGAAAGGAGAAGAGGAGCAGCAATGCAGGAGAACAAGAGTCTAGGCAAAGCATGTAGCCCCTTGCTGCCCTGCTCAGGCTCGGTGGGGGTGGACAGCAGGTACCTTTGCCCTTGGGGTGACCAATAGTGAATTGGCTAGAGGGTCGCACCCAGAGAGTCGTAGTGGATGGGTCGGTATCTGGAAGGGTGTGGGCAGTGGGGTCCCGCAGGGCTTGGTCCTTGGACCGATACTCTTCAATATCTTCATCAGCGACTTGGACGAGGGAGTGAAGTGTACTCTGCCCAAGTTTGCGGATGACACAAAACTGTGGGGAGAAGTGGACACACTGGAGGGCAGGGAACAACTACAAGCAGACCTGGACAGGTTGGACATACGGGCAGAAAACAACAGAATGCAATTCAACAAGGAGAAATGCAAAGTGCTGCACCTAGGGAGGAAAAATGTCCAGCACACCTACAGCCTAGGAAATGACCTGCTTGGTGGAATGGAAGCGGAAAGGGATCTTGGAGTCCTAGTGGACTCCAAGATGAACATGAGTCGGCAGTGTGACGAAGCCATCAGAAAAGCTAATGGCACTTTATCGTGCATCAGCAGATGCATGACGAACAGATCCAAGGAGGTGATACTTCCCCTCTATCGGGCGCTGGTCAGACCGCAGTTGGAGTACTGCGTGCAGTTTTGGGCGCCACACTTCAAGAGGGATGTGGATAACCTGGAGAGGGTCCAGAGAAGAGCCACTCATGTGGTTAAAGGCTTGCAGGCCAAGCCCTATGAGGAGAGACTGGGGCACCTGGACCTTTTCAGCCTCTGCAAGAGAAGGTTGAGAGGCGACCTTGTGGCTGCCTATAAGTTCATCACAGGGGCACAGAAGGGAATTGGTGAG